GGTCATTTTTGGCCAAATTTTAGCTGACGTCATTTGCGAACGGTCCCTTATCGCTAGGCCACAGACACCGGCCTTCCGTCGTTATTTATCTCAGCGACTTTTCTTTGGCTCCTTGAAACTGACCGTCCTATGTTGCAATCAGTCGAGGGAATGTAGATTCTGTTTCCCAAGGGAGAGCAAATCAGGGAAAAGTATGTGGGGGAGAGAGAGAGAGAGAGAGAGAGAGAGAGAGAGAGAGAGGGGGGGGGGGGAAAGGTGAAACGTAGAGACTATGATATGGAGGTTATATCCGATAATTTTATGCTATTACGTAAAAACACAGACAAGCATTTTTTGCCAATTAATTATACTATTTCAGTCGAGTGTTGGGATATTTACCTGCGGCGTTGAGGGGTTAAAGGAAGGATCCTATAAGACAAAGAAAAGGTGCAATATTGAATTCAAGCTTCGATATTATTGAACAATAAATTTTGTTTCAATTTGTCTCAAGTAGTCTTCTAGGGATATGCACATTTTAAATAATATTTTTTAAAGTCCATTTAGGTGTAGAGCTCAGCTTCTCTAAAGGAAGAATGACTTTTTAAAGATTTTTATTTAAACCTGTACGCTTACATTTTGCAACCATACTTTGCAAGCCATTACAGTTCGTGTATTTATAAGTACATTTTGTCTTTGTTGTTGTACATTTTCCCCCATGTATTGTTGAATCATTTAGGAAGCTGGCTGCTCCGAACTGATCTGTCATGGCCAACCTGGAACACTGTGTAGACACCTTGTCCACAGTGCTGGGGTCACTACAGTCAGAACATTTCCATCTCTGCTCTCCCCACCTCTTCAGGATCCATCCCAGAGATAGAGTGCATCTCAACTGGGGAAAAATAAATAGAGATATTAGATTAAATGCCTTCCCCCTTCGTTTTCTTTTCTTTTGGAATCGACTGACTTATACGAGTTCAGAGTGCAAAGATTAGCTTCCATACCACAGAGGTCAATAGTGTTTCGTTTTGGGTTTTTTATTAAACGAACAAGCAGAACTGTATAACACGTTATTTTACATTTAGTGTAATTGGTCACAATCCAACTTGCACTTTGATAAAAGTTAGAATAATAAAAATGCAATATTTAGTGTTCGATATTTTACAAAGTTTTGAATGACTTAGCTGTTACTGTT